TTATGTACACAAAATCGTTATCTTACAATAAACATACAATACCTAACAAAAGTTTGAACGTGTGCTTGGGTTCACATGAGAATTAAAGAAATCCAAATGAGTAACTACACAAACGTTAAATAATGCAGGTATTATAATGTAGTTAAGTGTAAGGAATTTATATTTTCCAAGGTATTCGGTTTGGCTGAATTTTTGATGTAATATTCATTGTGGTTAGAATATTTCTCCTTAAGTGCAGATCAAACATAAATACAAAGTTGATAGACATAAATTGCTTTGAGTACTACTATTCGTCATTATTCTTCAGAGCGGTCCGGAGGACCTTTGCTCTTAGTTAAAAGTCTCGTCGGTCTGTTAGTCTGTCAGGTCTGGCTACCCAGATACCAAACATGTTTAAGGGGAAAAGGGAAAGAAGGAAAGAAAGGAAGGAAGAAATAGAGCAAAGGAAAGAAGTAAATCATTTGAATTAGCTTAAGCATTATTGCTTTGACTACTCGAATTATTTTGTAACTCCAAAAAATAATTTTGATCGGTTTTGTATACTGAAATAATTTTGGCACAGTGCGAGGCGCGGCCTGGAATGTTTTCGAACTTGCTCGACCGTGTAGTCTACTGAATCACGCAACAGAGGGTTGCCGTGCGGTTCCGCTTGATTATAACGCCGCTGCACCTGTTGTTTTACGTAATCCCTTAGATATGGGAGATCAAGATCTCTGTGAATAGTCTCATTTGACACGTACCAAGGGGCGTTAGTAATTGTGCGTAGAGTTCTGATTTGCAGGACTTGCAGTCTTTGCATGTGCGTCTTGGCAAGAAAACACCAAGCCGCGCATGCGAAGGTGATTGCGGGTCTTAAGTCTTATGAAGATTTTATACAAACGAATCTTGTTAATCAAACTTAATTTTGAATTTCTGCACAACAAAGGATAAAGCTCCCGAAAGGTAATTTGGAATGTTGTTTTCAAATATCAGTATGCTTCTGCCAGGTCAACCCCTTGTCAATGATGAGTCCAAGGTACCTGACAGATTGTTCCCATGGTATACTAGTTCTATTCACTGATATCTCTGAGGGGGCACCGCGACGTTTGCCTGCGTTTTCGAAGTATTAATTTTGATCAACCACCGATCCGCCCACTCCAATACTTCCTCCACCGCATTCTGCAGCCTGTCGTGAACCAGGTTATCAGAACAAGACTGGGCTAGCAAAGCAGTGTCGTCAGCATAGAGATAGACTTCACAGTTGCTGGGGCAAGGGACGTCATGTATATAAAGTGAATAAAGGATTGGTCCTAAGACCGAACCCTGAGGAACACCGGCTCTTACGGGCCGTGTTGTTGCTTTGAGTTTAGTAATGATTTTTAGGGTCTATAAATTTATGGATTGAGTTCCTTGGTTCCTGTATAATCCATGACTTGGTGTGTTTTTAAAACTGTTTGATTTTTTAATAATCTTTATTGATGCTGGAATATAGATATTAGAGGGGAGATCTTTGACCGATGGTTTTTGTAGATTTTCTCACATATACTGAATATTGCTTAAGCCTTGTTCGATAGTTGCGATTGATAGGCTTTAGATGCATCTTATTTTTAATGTGTTAAATCAATCAATTGTAAAAGTAGATTTGTTTAAAGTCAGAGAGTTCAGCTTCTAAGTAAAGATCTTCGATTGGGTATGAAGGATCAGTTTTAGTATCGACCTATTTGCGATTTCAATGTTTTTATAGAAATAGTTCATGAGTCCCCCCATGCCATTATACCATATGACAGAATAGGGTAGACAGGAGCGTGGTAGAGAATATATACACTGCCACGCAAAATTAACCGGACAAACAAAATTTTGTTCAAATTGAATTTGAAATAACTTTTCAAACTTTCCATTAATTTCGTTAACTTTTCCGTCAAGTTGTAGCTAATGTCATTGTCATCATTATCGACTGCCGATCTTGGAAAAAAATTAAAATGTTTGTTTTTATACAGGGTGTAAAAAAACTTGCATTTTTCCCTTAAGCTTCTGAACACCCTGTGGAAATATTGGATTACTGAATAATGTGTCTTCGTATGAGAATTTTGAGCCTGAACTTTTCTCAACAGTTCTTTTTTTGATTCATGCCAATATCTCAATTATTGAAGAATATGTGCTGTTTTGAAGAAAATCATGCGAATCATAGCCAAATACTTAAATTTTGGGGAGAGATGTCTTAGTCTTTTCTCTAAGATATCTGTGTGACTTTAAACGTTAAATTAATTTTTTGTCTAGTATTAAACCTAAACATTCAATTTTGTCCATTAACTGCATTTCTTTATAGCCACATTTTATTTGAAACTTGAGTTTACTGTCTTTCATCACAAAAGAATGGTATAAAGTATGCTTTTTTATAAATTATAGTCATTGTTTTGTTCTGAAAAAAAATTCATAACTGTTGTAAAATCATTTTCAATTTCAGTTTTTAAGGTGTACCAATCATTACTTGTATAGATGAATGCTGTGTCCTCAGCGAAACCGATAAGCAGTATCTGAATTGAAAAGATCGTTCATATATAAAAGAAAAGTGCAAGGGGCCCAGCACTGTACCTTGGCGCACCCCATAAGTCACTACCTATTGTTCGCCTAAATTACTGTTTATTTCAACACGACAGTTCGTTTCAACATGACAGTTTATCCGATTGAATCGTCAATGCTTCATTTTTTAGAAGCGTATTTTAATGCACCTTGATGCAATATGATCAGGTGGTAAAGATATTATAATTTCCAGGACATGCGGGTAATTTCCCCATTTATTCCCTAATACAAGCATTATTATAGCACGATGATACATTTTACATCAGCTGTAGCTTAGCATTACTTGAATGCAAGATATGTGCATTGGTTTAGATATAACGGGTACGAAGTGTATTTATGAACCTGCAACATCGTATAGACTTTTATTTACTCTAAAGTGTTTTTCATCAGTTAAGTACAGTATCTAGTATTGTATTTTTCGTTTTGACGTCTAGTGAGGTGAGCAGCTGATTACAAAAGCGACATCTTTGTATTAGTCTGTAACGTTGGCAATAATGCATTTCAGGACCGTACTCAGAGCTGTTATTCACACTTCTGAATTACACTTTTAAGTGATGAAAATGTGAAAATAAAATGTACGGAGTAGAGATATAAAAATGTTTATTAGAAAATTAGTATAGTACATCTGGGATTTATTGATTTTTTTTTCAGTACAGTACAATTTAAATAAAAAAAAGCTTCAAGAATACATGAGCTTGTATACTCTTGCTACCCTGAATAACCAAGATTGCAACAGAAATCTGAGCAAAGATACTAGCATCAGATCTAGAACCAGCAAGTAACGGTATATGAATTGTGAAAATTCTGTATACTTTCGTAAAGGGTAAATGTCTGAATCTTGTCGTCACAAATCCTAAATTACGTGTCTGCATAAACAAATCTAAAATTCACATAGTAGTACAGAAGCATACTAAAAACACTCAGAAGTATAAATATAGAGTACATAAAATATGAATATCTGAAATATGATAATATAGGGATATTTCGAGTAAGGTCAAACTATGTTGTTTAAACAATAAAAATTTTGCGTAAAGGTTAAGCAGAGAAACAAGAGTACTACAATTTACTACAAAAGAATTTACTACAAAAGAATAGACACCTAAGCTATAAGCCTGTGTGTGTCATACAATATACAAATTCAATGCATGGCTAATGGTTATAAGGTATATTATGAGCAAATGTATATAACAAAAAAGAAATAAAAAAAACATTAGATGGAAACGAAATTACTGAGTTGAGTCAAGCTACCGTCGATGCAAGCATGTCAAAGTTATTTAAGATGAACTTCTTAATTCTTTTTTTGAAACTATTCTTTGAGAGGATTTTATATTCTAGGGGTAATTTATTATACAACCAAATACCATCAAACTTTATGCATTTTTGGCAAACAGATTTATTCACTCTGGTATAGGTGTAACTTATATTTATTTTAGTTCTTGTTTCATAAACGTGGCTGGTTGGAACATTGTTTCGGGAGTGAACAAATTTTATAGCAGCAAAAATATATAAATCTCTAACATTCAAAAGATCATTTTCAATGTAAACAAATCCGCAACTTGACCTACATGGGATACGAAAAATAGTCCTGGCAATATAATTTTGCGTGGTTTGTAGTATTTTTAAAGTACTAGTGTATGCGGCTCCCCAAATACTTATCCCGTAAGTTAGTAGAGACTCCACAAACGAGTTATATATTGAGAGAAGACGCTTTCTGCTTAAAATATTCCTAAGAATGAAAAACTTATGAATAATTCTCCTTAATTTCGATGCCAAAAGCTCGGCATGACTCTGCCATTTTAAATTACTGTCAATAGTGATTCCTAAGTATCTAATAACTTCAACTCTTTCGACAGTGTCAGCACTATCATTTATAATTAATGTTCGGTGGTGTAATGGCATGCCTGCTTTGGTTGGAGAAAACGTTACATACTTAGTTTTAGAGATATTAAGTTTAAGTAAATTGTTATCCAACCAGCATTTGACTTTATTTAATGACAACTCGGCATTCCGTATTGCGTCATCCCATGAATGACCAGTGCAAACTAAAACAGTATCGTCTGCATATGATATCATTTTACAGTTGAAATTACATCGAAGTAGTTCATTTATGTATATGAGGAACAGTGTTGGTCCCAAAACCGTCCCCTGAGGCACACCTATTTTGATCTTTTGAATGTTGCTTAAATCTGACCCTACCTTAACTTGTTGTAATCGATCAGCCAAATAGTGCTCAAATAAGTTCAGAACTCCGCTACGCACTCCAACACTTTCTAGTTTCTTTAATAAAATTGTATGAGATACTGAATCGAAAGCCTTTTGAAGATCTAGGAAAACTGCAACAGTCTTATCTCCATCTTGAAAATTGCACTTGTCCTGTAAGTTCTTCTAGAGATTGCTCTGTATTGCAATTTTTGCGGAACTCAAATTGACAGTTCGATATTATGTCATATTTCTCAAGAAAAGAACAAAGTCTCTTATTTAAACACTTCTCAAAAATCTTCCCAAATACATTGATAACTGAAATAGGTCTATAATTGAACATATTGTCTTTACTTCCAGATTTAAATATTGGTGTCACTATGCTTTCTTAAAATTGGCGAGGAATTACTGAGGATTTGAAACAGAGATTGATAATGTGAGTTATAGGGTGACTGATATACTTCATGATCATCTGGATAGTTTTAGTGTGTAAGCCATCTTTTCCGGGTGCGCTATTATTTTTCAGATTACAAACTATTTGTTGTAACTCTATGTTATCCACTGGAGTTAGAAATATAGAGTGAGCAATGTTGACGACATGAGGATCTGATGTATCAAGAATTGAGTATTGATCAATTTGACTTGTTATTTTGCTCACCTACGATTACGATGTAAGTCAATAGAACGGCTGCGTTGTCCATCCGGAAGCTGCAATTTTACCTGTAAAAATAATATAGACACGCACGTGTTTGTGGTTAATTCAAATACAGGTTAAGTATGTACAAAATCTATCATAAAGGCTAAGAATACAGTTGTACATTGTATTTACATTTTTTTAATTTCTAACTTTATAAAATTACCTGAGCAATATTTGGACTTAATTCAGGGAATCGAACCTTCATAAATTCGGTGATATACTGCCACACATTCTGAATGCAGGGTGCTTCAATCTCTATAAAATAGAAAAACTATTATTTATCTGATTCGTACCTGACTTGGAATTTAGTCATGATCATAGCCATTTTGCTTGTAGCGTTTCTTTTATGCTAAGGAACTTTTCTAAATAAAAGAGTTGTTAGCAAGTACAAAATGAATGCAAAAAATCACAACAAAATACGGATATGTCTACCTGGAGTTGACGAATTTCTCAGCATTAATTATGTGTCACTTCTCGATATGAGAGGTTTTGAAATAGATCTACTCGTAGACTAGATAATCAGCTGTTGATCTACCGTGAAAAGTACCGTACTGTTTTCAATGATTTCAATACTAACCTCAAATGATATGAGCATCATCTTGCTCTTTAGAGAAAGAGATTACTATTTTAGATATTTGAATTTGTAATAATATTTATCCATGTCCATTTTTGTACTGTCACACCAGTAAAATCGGAAATAGTGACTCTTCTCCTGTGTCTCGATCATAAGAATTTAAGGAATGCTTAGTTGATGATATTAAGAAACAAATGATCTGATTGTTGAAAGCCTACTTACGAAGTCCTGTTTTTTTGACTAAGGTCGTTTATACAATTGTAGGACGCCTTTATGGTCTCCTTGATTTTCATAGTTTTCCCTATCCTTCAGAGAGGCAGGGGTATTTCTAGATTTTTACTGTTCCGTGTCAGCACCCTATATTGAGGTTATACAGGGTGTCCGCAAAGTTGTTTTTTCCTTTACACGACGTGTAGATCTTGAAAACATAAGCAATTTTTCTTAGTACCATATACACCAATGTCTTAAGGGAACAGATATAAAGGGCTCTGCAACAACAAAAATATCTGAATACCGTACTGTAGCCGCGACCCGCGATATCACCGACTGTTACAAGTGGGTCGGGGTCAGTGTGTCAAGTCAGTATGCAGCAACCTTCAACCGACGGTTACGGTCACGCGTGTAGAGGTAAACGAACCCGTATAATCGATTGCGTTTCAAAAAACAACAAGCACTAGAGACGTGGCTAGAGAAGTGCAAGTATCAAAAACTAAAGTGCGGCAAACGCTGCGTGAATAGGGGCTGTATCCGTTTCACGTCCAACGTGTACAAGCCCTTCAACCTGACGATTTTCCAGCAAGAGTGCGGTTTTGTGTGTGGTTGTTGCATCAACATGACATAAATCCGGACTTTTTGAAGTGCATATTGGTGACAGACGAATCTACGTTCACGCGTAATGGGGTGAATAACTTTCGCAACACTCATGTTTGGTCAGTAGAAAATCCGCACGCTGTCCGTCGGGCACATTTTCAACAAACATTTTCGGTGAATGTTTGGGCTGGCATGGTGAACGGCATGCTCATTGGACCATTTATTCTCCCAAATTTGTCATAGTTGTTACCTCTGTTCGTGGTCTGCACCACCGCCGGCGTCTGCGCGGTAGTGCATCAGCTGATTTCATTTTCTGTTGGAGCGGTATGATTTCGGGCAGAGACGTACTTAGCCCTTCTCGTTAACTGGAGAGTGAGTACTTTTTCCTTTATTTTTTTTTTACTTGGTCGCCCTCGTTTCACTACACATTACCTTTGTTATTTCAAGGGTAGTTGTTTCTGAAAAGGAAAACCCCAACTTTCCTTTTTGAAGTCTAAGAGATTTCAGGCTGATGAAACTTGATTTTTATCATCTGTTTCACCATCCCGAAGTTTCTGAAGGCTCAAAAAGAAAACATAACCTCACAATAGGAGAGGGCTGACACGGAACAGTAGAAACCTAGAAATACCCCAGCCTTTCTGAAGGGAAGAAAAGACTATGAAAATCAAGGAGACCATAGAGGCGCCCTACAATTGTAGGAACGACTGGCCTGGAAAAATCGTTGTCTGACATTATACACTTTTAGAATTAGAATTAAAAAGAAAAAATAGAGTTAATTACTGAGGGCAGTAGACAAAGCGTCATATTAAGATTCGGAATTGCGAAACTATCTGAGGGCCATTTTCTTATTTACCCAAATGCGTAACTTTGCGACTTCGTATCAATTCAATTCAACTCAATTCTTTATTTGTGTTAAGTACACCAGCGTGTTTGCACAAGTCAAAAGAAAAAAATAATAATACAAAAAGCAGTCTGACAAAAGACTGATGTTCAAATTAGACAGAAAAACATCAACTTATGACATTATGATTCAATAAAAGCAGATACAGCAAGTCCATATAAGTTGTAAAAACAGGAGGACATATATTCGTACATAGATACACGCATATTCATTTAACCACAATACGTATGTTTACTTCTACACACACACACACACACACATATATACATATATACACATATACACATATATACGTTAAAATGGAAGACATATGAAATGTTGATATAAAAATTTACCAGATGACTTAGTAGAAAGTTCAAGGAGCCTAAAGGATCCCAGGTGTAGGAACACTTATATTTGCTAACAATCCGACAAGTCTGAAAAATTATTGCTCAAATACTCGTTGATCGAGTAAAATGCTTTAGTAGTCAGATAAGCATTAATTTTACTTTCAAAAACTTTCGCATCCAGTTTCTTTATACGGTCTGGCAAAAGGTTATAAGACGGCTAAGAGGTACTAAGATTTTATCCATATTTCTGGTTCTATAACTGTGGACATCACTGTGGGTAGTATATTGGCTCAGGTTAGTCTTTATATACATCAGACATGTGAAGATGTAAAGAGAAGGTACTGTCATGATTTTCAATTCTATAAAAGCTTCCTTGCAAGGTTCCGTGTATTTGAGGCCAGCAATGTACCGCAAGCAACGTCGTTGTAATCCAAAAAATTTTGACGAATGGGCCGAGTGACCCCAGTTTAACAATGCGTATGAAATTCTTGATTGAAAGTAGGAATAATATGTTAGAAGAAGAACTGACTGAGAGACATTTTGTTTCAAGTTCCTTATCAAATTATATATTTTGCTAGTGCATCGAGAACATGGATTACGTGAGTTTCCCACGACAAGTGTTCATCAATGTAGACTCCTAGTAACTTCACGGACTTTAGTGTATTAGTGTCGTGCTGCCTCAAGCTAAGAATAATCATCTGAGACTTGGTTTCATTGATGGTCAACTTATTAGCGGTTAATCAGTTTGCTAGTTTTCTTTTATGAGCCTCAGAGTCGAATATCAATGAGGCTAAAGAGGCATTGCTATTCATCAAGCTAGTGTCATCAGCGAATAGGATTAAGTTATTATTCACATTATAGTTAGTCAAGCAGTCCGTACTAACTAAAGCAACATCGTCTTTATGAAGCTCTGTTAGGAAAGTCAAAGTCTCTCTCATATTTCTTATATGATCATTGAACCAATACACATTACAGGAGCTTTTATTATCATTAACAAGTCGCGATTTTATAGGAAGATGTTGATTGGCCGAAATTCTGACAATAGATATGAATTTTTCAATTTTATATTCGATTGTCGTACTTTTTTCATTAACAAATTCGAAAGATGTTGATTCCATATCATTGTAAAGTTTGAAAAGACCGCTGTTTGTTATAGGTCTATAATAGAGTTTCCTACGTACTTTCGGTACATGTGATAAATTAAAAGGATAGTCAAACGCTAAATGATCTGAATAATGAGTATCAAAAACATTAACGCTATTTTTTGAGTCTACGTACTTTATGAAGATGTTATCTAGACAACTAATTATATTTCTAAGATGATAGTCGACAGATGTGGTCAATTCGCATAAAAAAGTAAGATTGGTTACTCGACCGAGAGGTAAAAGGCAATGTAAACATTTGTTTAAGGATGGGGTGTTACTTATATTGTTAGAGTTGATCATGAAGATTACAAAATCGTTCTCACCAAGAGATTTTGTGATGTTAAATACGTTTTTTGTGATATCTACAAACTCTAAATGGGGATAAACGTGAGCTTTTATGGAGAACTTTGTCATGTCGATGTATAATTCTAACACTTTTCTGAAACTTTTTACATATTCGTCACCAATTATAATGATTTTCCGACAGCTGTCTGAGGAATTTCGTTTCGGTGATCCACCTGATGGTACTATATCGATTATTGGTGCATCATCGAATTCTTTTGGAGTTTGTCTTGCAGATTCTGCTGCTACTTCGCCGTCCAACTGGGGTACAGGGGAAACGATAGATGCACAGTGGGCAAAAGTCGATGCTGTTTGATGTTCGTCAAATTCATGTTCTATCGGCTGGCTTTTACACATATCGTTTGTTTTCATTTGGAAACTTGTGGCCCTAATATCATTCGCAGCAGGAGGCTTTTCCATCGGAAGTGAGGTTGTCAGTTCCTGCAGTGTACTGTTTTTTGAGGATAAATATGCTAGTTGTTGCTCTATATTTTGTATTTGACGCTTGTAAGTCTGGATCTCGTCGTTGTAATTTTTTTCAATTTCAATCACATCATCCTCAAAAGCCAATGAGCGTTTTTTCATAGAGGCAATATATTTATCCTTCTCTATAATCTCTTGTTGTAATTCTCTTATTATATGTCGTACTACGGTATATCATATGCTTGGCAATGACAATTACGTCATTTCGTTTGTTGCAACTGCGATGAAAAATTTGTTTACATGTTATGCACACATATTTGGATAGCTCTTTGGTTTTACAACATTCGAAATAATTCGGCATCTCCGTTTCTTGTATTGTATCGATAAGTAACGTTACAACGAAATATTGTACTGTGTCCTATTATTCGTGTCGGTTGGAAACTAGGTTTTATAGGAATATCACCTCGACTATATGTTTACTTTACGTACGTAATATCTGGTGTATGTATTGTTGGCAGTGGTTTTTGGGTTATAAAAGAACTGTGT